TTTACATACTGCTTTACTCATTTCATATGTATATACTGTATTCTACTGTATTTTAGTCAATGCCACTCAGACATTGCTCGTCCTAATATTTATATATTTCTTAATTCCATTCTTTTACTTTTAGATTTGTGTGTATTGTTGTGAATTGTTAGATACTACTGCACTTATGGAGCTAGGAACACAAGCATTTCGCTACACCCACAATAATATATTTGTATGTGACCAATAAAATGTGATTTGATTTTACAGGTTACCTACACTGATTCATCTGCACCCAACTCCTTTCCCACCCACCCTGAAACCACAAATGGATCCGCCTACTGGACCAGATTCTTCTTTATCATGTCCATTGATGCCAGGCTCGGTTCGTTTTTCTCTGATGCTTGCTTTGGCACAGGTTAGTCGCAAAATTAGTGCCAAAACTCTGAGCGCACAGATTCGACATCGGCAAATGTAGTTTTGATTCACAGAAGAAGATTCACCAGTCGCAAGTTTAGTAAATGAGTTGCATTAATTCTCAAATTTAGTTGCATGCTTGCAAATCTTATTAAATGTATTCACATACCAGTTTACATGTTTGCAAGTGTGGTTGTATTTATTCACACATCACGTTATGCGCTTGCAAGTTTTGTTGCATTTATTCTCAAGAGAAGTTACATGTTTGCAAATATTTTTTGCAACTACAAAACTCATTATACAGGTGCAACTTATATTTCACATGTGCAAATCATACTTTACATGCTTGTATACTTGTCACTATTTTACCTCCATAGATATTTTACTACCCCCTTTAGAAGCTGGCGGCAATACACCTTATTGGTGTAGTCTGTCAATAAACCTAGAAGAAGAAGAAGAAGAAGAAGAAGAAGAAGAAGAAGAAGAAGAAGAAGAAGAAGAAGAAGAAGAAGAAGAAGAAGAAGAAGAAGAAGAAGAATTAGTAGTGGGATCTCGCATTTTACAACGTGGTTTAAAAAAAGCATGTGGTCAAACGAAGCTTTGGACGTCATTGATGACGTACTTCTGATAAAGTGATACACGCATAGGCACAGTGCTTTGAATGCTGGGAACATGAGCGAAGACAGAACACAAGCTTTGGTTGGATGGGTAATACCCAGGCGAAAGAGATGGGACTGTGTGGAAGGGAGTTTAGTCCAACGTTAGTTATTCCTGTAAATCCACCATGGCTACTCCCGCCTCCAGTAGTTGATCTAGAAGTGTTGGAGAGACTACAGAAAGATAGGGAGGGTGTTGATCTAGTTGATTTCTTTAAGAGACGTCTGGAAACTGTGTATCAGGATTTTGTGGCCATTTACACAGATGGTTCAAAAGATCCAAAGACAGGACGTACTGGGTCAGCATTTATAGTGCAGGAATGTGGGGTGGAAGTCAGGAAACGTATTACAGATCATCTGGCTGTATATACGGCGGAGCTGATGGCCATGCTGTTGGCCTTGCAGTGGGTGGAGGAAGTCAAACAAGACAGAGTAGTTATTTGCTCTGATTCATGAGCAGTGTTAATGAGTCTCCAGTCCTTTAGCTCACGTAGCAGACAAGACCTGCTTTATGAGGTGCTACAAACCCATCGCAGGATTAAACAGATGGGTATACAGATAAGATTTACTTGGGTCCCAGCCCGTGTGGGGGTGGAGGGGAACGAGGCAGTAGATGAACAGGCTAAACAAGCACTTAGTAGTGTGTATGTTGATGTTGAAGTTTCAATGAGCAAGGCAGAGGCAAAAATACTGATATATACAGTGATGGTGCAGAGATGGCAGGAGCAATGGAATAGAGATAATAAGGGAAGGCATTTATTTCAAGTACAGAGGAAAGTCGGGGAGGGGAGGACGGCAGGAAGGGACAGAAAAGAGGAGGCTATTTTTACAAGATTAAGGGTGGGAGACAGCCAGCTGAATAAGACATTAAATTTGATAGGAAAGCATCCATCAGAAAAGTGTGATTATTGTCAGGAAACAGAGACCGTGGAGCATGTATTGCTACAGTGTGGGCAGTATCAGAGGGAAAGAGAGAGGATGAGATCTGTGTGGTCGAGGATAGAATAGACGCCGGAAGGGAAAGGAGGGGGAAAATTGAGTCCTTTGAGAAGGCAAGAAATAGATATTGGTTAGGAGAAATGCAGTATTATCATAAGGAGACGTATACTTGGATGAATGAGGAGGAATGGAGGGAAAAAGAGAGGCAGAGGAGGTCTAAGAGAGAGAGGGAGGAAGACTGTGAGTTTGAGTCGGTAACAAATGGCGGGGAAAAGGGAGAAGGTTTGTTAAAGAAGAGTGGTAGGAAATGTAAGCAAAGTGAGCTGAAGACAGGAGTAGAAATGGAAGAGGGTGAAGGTGAAGTGCTTGGAGCCAGAGGCTTGCACAGAGGGTCAGGATAAAGATGAGTCTGTGACAGTAGGAGTGAAGTTTGTGGAAAAAGTGGATCATTGCCTTTTGGCTGATCCATTTGTGGTTTCAAGATGGGTGAAAAAAGCGTTGGGTATAGTGGAATCGGTGAGGGTAACCAGAAGTGGTCTAGTGATAATTGTTTGTGTTTCTGTTGGGCAGAGGGAGAAGGCGCTTAGAGTTAAACAAATGGGGGAAAGAATTGTGAATTGTTTCGCTCTTAAGAAAAGGGCGCCATTGAGAGGAGTGATTACTGGGGTAGCAGTAAATGTAAAAGTGGATCAACTGAAGGAGAAGATTCCCAGTGTGTGTGATGCTCGTCGTTTGGTGCGACGTAAACAGGGTGACGAGAGTGGGGAAAACAGAAGAGTCATTGTCTGTTCTTTTAAGTTTTGAAGTTGAGTCTTTGCCGGATAAAGTGAAGCTTGGATATATAAATTATCCTGTGCGAGCATATGTGCCGAGTACGTTACGATGTTACAGGTGTCAAACTTATGGGCATGTGGCAGCAGTATGTAGGAGGGAGATTCCAAGGTGTGAGAAGTGTGCAGTAGGGCATGAGACTAAGGAGTGTGAAGCAGTGGAGAAAGTAGTGGTATGATTTTGTACATTTGCCCACTGAAAAAGACATGATCAGTCTATAATTTTAATAGTAGGTTTATTTGAACAGTGAGAGACAGAATAACAACAAAAAAATCCAGAAAAACACATGTCAAAACTGTTGTAAATTTATTTGCATTTTAATGAGGGAAATAAATATTTGACCCCTCTGCAAAACATGACTTAGTACTTGGTGGCAAAACCCTTGTTGGCAATCACAGAGGTCAGACGTTTCTTGTAGTTGGCCACCAGGTTTGCACACATCTCAGGAGGGATTTTGTCCCACTCCTCTTTGCAGATCTTCTCCAAGTCATTAAGATTTCGAGGCTGACGTTTGGCAACTCGAACCTTCAACTCCCTCCACAGATTTTCTATGGGATTAAGGTCTGGAGACTGGCTAGGCCACTCCAGGACCTTAATGTGCTTCTTCTTGAGCCACTCCTTTGTTGCCTTAGCCGTGTGTTTTGGGTCATTGTCATGCTGGAATACCCATCCACGACCCATTTTCAATGCCCTGGCTGAGGGAAGGAGGTTCTCACCCAAGATTTGACGGTACATGGCCCTGTCCATTGTCCCTTCGATGCGGTGAAGTTGTCCTGTCCCTTTAGCAGAAAAACACCCCCAAAGCATAATGTTTTCACCTCCATGTTTGACGGTGGGGATGGTGTTCTTGGGGTCATAGGTAGCATTCCTCCTCCTCCAAACACGGCGAGTTGAGTTGATGCCAAAGAGCTCGATTTTGGTCTCATCTGACCACAACACTTTCACCCAGTTCTCCTCTGAATCATTCAGATGTTCATTGGCAAACTTCAGACGGGCATGTATATGTGCTTTCTTGAGCAGGGGGACCTTGCGGGCGCTGCAGGATTTCAGTCCTTCACGGCGTAGTGTGTTACCAATTGTTTTCTTGGTGACTATGGTCCCAGCTGCCTTGAGATCATTGACAAGATCCTCCCGTGTAGTTCTGGGCAGATTCCTCACCGTTCTCATGATCATTGCAACTCCACGAGGTGAGATCTTGCATGGAGCCCCAGGCCGAGGGAGATTGACAGTTATTGACAGTTTCTTCCATTTGCGAATAATCGCACCAACTGTTGTCACCTTCTCACCAAGCTGCTTGGCGATGGTCTTGTAGCCCATTCCAGCCTTGTGTAGGTCTACAATCTTGTCCCTGACATCCTTGGAGAGTTATTTGGTCTTGGCCATGGTGGAGAGTTTGGAATCTGATTGATTGATTGCTTCTGTGGACAGGAGTCTTTTATACAGGTAACAAACTGAGATTAGGAGCACTCCCTTTAAGAGTGTGCTCCTAATCTCAGCTCGTTACCTGTATAAAAGACACCTGGGAGCCAGAAATCTTTCTGATTGAGAGGGGGTCAAATACTTATTTCCCTCATTAAAATGCAAATCAATTTAATTTATAACATTTTTGACATGCGTTTTTCTGGATTTTTTTATTGTTATTCTGTCTCTCACTGTTTAAATAAACCTACCATTAAAATTATAGACTGATCATTTCTTTGTCAGTGGGCAAACGTACAAAATCAGCAGGGGATCAAATACTTTTTCCCCTCACTGTACCAGTACAGTGGGATAGGCAAGCAAGTGATATATGTTTCAGTAAGATTTGGTTTTTAGCGTTTATAGCAATGGTTATTAATTGTACTGCAGGGATGGAACGCAAATCGAAGAAAATTGAGGTTGTGGTGGCAGCTGCAGAGAGATATTTGGGTGTGCTAGACCTGACAGCAGAAGAGTTACAGGGAGTGTTAAGTGGTGATGTCCCATCATTTCAGGTTGAGGGCATGAGGTAGGATAGTGGAGAAGGGTGGGGTTAATTATTATTAGTAGTTTTGAAGTTGTGAGTGTAGTGTATTGGTAGGATATTTCTTTGGTTTGTTTTATTTATTTTTTAAGAAAAGATAAGGGAGTTGTACTCCAGTATAGTAGGTGGCGGTAATGCAACAAATTGGATGCCAACCGCCGTTCAACCTAATTGAAGAAGAACAGTGCTTCGAAGTTGGTTACTTAGCGATTTGGACGCATGCCTCGGAGCTCCAGTGTCAAACGTAACATCACTAATTAATATGCATATTTCAGCAATATTCAGGTCTTCTAGTTAAACATATATTTTCTGCATTTCTGGAGTAGCTATAACGTTAGCTAGGTAGCTAGCTAACGTTTGATAGCTTTGCCAGATGGAGAAATAGCTATTTAGCTAGCTAGCCAACTTTACTTAGCTAACGTTATGAATTATTTGACTTTCAGGACGTGGAAGTTACAACTACTTGCAAGATTTAAAGAACAACCATGAGCACTCAAGTAAGTGAAATAATTCGCTAACGTTAGCCAAAGCCAAGGTTAGTAGCTAGCTAGGTTATTTAGTAAGCTAGCTACTTCCTCGGTGCTGTAATGTTCTGTTGTTTTAGGTAGCTGGCTAACAGTAGCTGCTTGCTGGCTTGGTTAATCTTGCAAGTAACAAACACACAGGCGTGCTGAAATCAGCGTGCGTCTGTCTCAGACAGTCAGGTTGTCATTCTCTCAGTAAATCTGTCTGTTTGGGGGTGAACCAGAATCTTTATTTACAGGAGACGTTGAATATGGCGGTTCTCATTTTAAGACCAAGAAGCAGCCATTCACCAGCATTTCAAGTTTAATAACGTCAAAATAGGCTAGTGAGATACCCCTACCGAGGTAGAACAAAACACAACCATGTTTTTTCACATCCCTAATGTCTCCCATTTATGAAATGGATGGTTGTGTAAAAATATTTTACTGCAAAAGTGGTTGAATATTTATGAAGAATGTAAGCTTTACTTTTTGGTAGCTGATTTAATAGACAACTTTCCAAGTCAAATGTGCTCTCATTCAGCGCTGTATCATCCTACCTGACAGAGATGCATACAGTTACATGTTTTGTTATGTTGTGGCTAGTATAATCTGCTCTAAGGAGAACAATTGGGCTCAGACGTCGGTAATTAAAAAATGTTGTGTCCAAGGTTTCTTGAACGATTTTGTATCTTTAGGCCATACTCTTGTAATTGGGTCAGGGGCCACAACAGATTATTTTTCAACCACCATGGATTTAGCCTCAAATCCAAAATGGTGTCCAAAATCCAATATGGCTGCCATAATACCATGCAGGTTAAATCACAGGTAAATTCATTTTTCAGTTGTGTACAGCACCATAAAGACTGTTTTGGTGTAAATTAATTGTATTCTGAATCCAATATGGCCAACATGATTACACTTAAAGACCTTTGTCTGCATATAGGTTGTCTTTGTTTATTTTGTTTTGAATGTGTTATTCTGTCTTTAAAAGGGTTTCAAAAGGCTCTTGGTGTACAGTATGGACTATGAGTCACACTGCCATTCCTCTGTTTGAATACCTGAAGCCAAATAATGTTCAATGTGTGTTCATGTTTAAATCTCATTCACACACTTACAGCATATCAACGATGGGCAATTCCGCAAAATATAATAACAAGCCTTTCACAACACAAGCACATAGTGCTTTAACCAAGTTACAGGAAAGCAACCTGTAATCCAACAGTCAGCTACTCTAGTAGCGTAAATGTACAACCCTTTTCCCTGACCAGCTTGTGCAGCTAACTGATCATTCTGGGATAGCTGCAGCGTCAAGGCCAGCATCCTTCCTGCATGACTGTCGGGGTATTGGGGCTGTGTGGTGATCAGTTTCCAATTCTACAACAGCAGGCACTCAGGAGATGCAACTTGCATTTCAATGAGCCCCATGACTAATTGGAATGTTATCTCAGCCTGAGTGCTGGGGATTAGAGGTCTTCAGGGTCCAAAAAGTTGGACCCGTTCCGAAATGAACCTGGGGCATTCCCACCCGGACCTGATATGCATAAATATATATATTTTTTTAAATAAAGAGACCCATTCCGAATGGACCCGAAGAGAACTAGACCCGTTACGTATAGACCTGGTCAGATCCAGACTAGGTCCGATCCGAGTAAGGAAAGGAGCAGAAAACTACTTTATTAACCGGCGCTGATAAAGCGTGAGAGGAGCAGTTCTAGCAGGCGAGTGACATGGGGAGCAGGGAGGGAGAGACGGCAACCAAACAAGCCGACTTACGCTGTAGTTGACTAATAGCTGCCATAGCTAGGTTATTCATCATCAAATATGATTACGTAGTGCCTGTCTTGGACTGCATCAAACCGGGAGAAGCTACACTGAACAAAAATATAAACGCAACATGTGAAGCGTTGGTTTCATGAGCTGAAATAAAAGATCCCAGACATTTTCCATAAGCACAAAAAGCTTATTTTTCTCTAATTTTGTGCACACATTTGTTTATATCCCTGTTAGTGAGCATTTCTCCTTTGCCAAGATAATCCATCCACCTGACTAGTGTGGCATATCAAGAAGCTGAGTAAACGGCATGATCATTACACAGGTGCACCTTGTGCTGGGGACAATAAAAGGCCACTCTAAAATGTGCAATTTTGTCACACAACACAATGCCACAATGTCTCAAGTTTTGAGGGATTGTGCAGTTGGCATGCTGACTGCAGGAATGTCCAAGAGAGCTGTTGCCAGATAATTGAATGTTAATTTCTCTACCATAAGCCGCCTCAACGTCGTTTTAGAGAATTTGGCAGTACGTCCAACCATCCTCACAACCACAGACCACGTGTATGGCGTTGTATGGTCGTGCGGTTTCCTGATGTCAACATTGTGAACAGAGTGCCCCATGGTGGCGTGGGGTTATGGTATGGGCAAGCAGGCATACGCTACGGACAACTAAAACAATTGCATTTTATCGATGGCAATTTGAATGCACAGAGATAACGTGACGAGATCCTGAGGCCCATTGTCGTGCAATTCATCCGCCTCATCACCATGTTTCAGCATTAAAATGCACGGCCCCATGTAGCAAGGATCTGGACACAATTCCTGGAAGCTGAACATTTCCCAGTTGTTCTATGGCCTGCATACTCACCAGACATGTCACCCATTGAACATGTTTGGGATGCTCTGGATCGACGTGTACAACATTGTGTTCCAGTTCCCGCCAATATCCAGCAACTTAGCACAGCCATTTGAAGAGGAGTGGGACACCATTCCATAGGCCACAATCAACAGCCTGATCAACTCTATGCGAAGGAGATGTGTCGCGCTGCATGAGGCAAATGGTGGTCACATCAGATACTGACTGGTTTTCTGATCCACGCCCCTACCTTTAAAAAAGGTATCTGTGACCAACAGATGCATATGTATTTCCAGTCATGTGAAATTCATAGATTTCAAGGCACACCTGTTAATTGAAATGCATTCCAGGTCACTAACTCATGAACTGGTTGAGAGAATGCCAATAGTGTGCAAAGCTGTTATCAAGGCAAAGGATGGCTACTTTGAAGAATCTCAAAGATAAAATATATTTTGATTTAACACTTTTCGGTTACTACATGATTCCATATGTGTTATTTCATAGATTTGATGTCTTCACTATTATTCTACAATGTAGAAAATAGGAAGAATAAAGGAAAAACCCTTGAATGAGTAGGTGTGGATTTAGACCTCGTTTTGGAAGTACATACAGGCCGTGACAGCAGTAATGACAATAGTTGCTCAGCGAAACTCCATTATTTGGTAAGTACCGAACGTATTTTGACATTTTTAAGCTTGGAAAGCTGGTGTATGGCAAGTTGAATGGCTGCTTCCTGGGCTTAAAGGAGAATCGGCATATTCAACGTCTCCTGTAAGCTCAGATTCTGGTTCAGGTAGGGGGAAGCCATGTAAGGTGATTACATAATGAGTTGTGAAAGCTACCTGTGCATGATTCAATAACAATTTATTTTCTTTCCAGTACAGTATTCTGTTCAAGCAAGAGCATGGTGAGTTTTGTCTAACTCATCCTCAATATTAACCCCCCTGTCCCAGACTCATTACATTTTGACATGAATATTTTCCTCTAAATGGAATGTAATTTTATTCTTGTAATTCCATTTTTGGTTGTTCTAATATGTGTGTTTGCCCATAGCCCACGACGATGCCATCTGGACTGCTGCGTGGGGCAGAAGTGAGAGGGATGGATTGGAGACAATAGTTACTGGCTCTCTGGACGACATGGTGAAAGTCTGGAAATGGTAATACACTTTTAATGCATCTTTTGAATCCAATTGAATTGAGCAAGTACGGTCTACACTAAGTTGACTTCTCTCTTCTCTCTCTTTCCACTCAGGTCAGACGAAAAGTTGGAGTTGCAGTGGACCCTGGAGGGCCACCAGCTGGGTATAGTCTCAGTAGATGTCAGTCCCAACGGAGCCATAGCAGCCTCCAGCTCGCTGGATGCCCACATACGCCTCTGGGACCTTGAGTTCGGCAAGCAGATCAAGTCCATGGACGCGGGCCCAGGTAGGTCATTGTCTGGTGGCTTTTCAGCCACATTATGCATTATTACGAGGGCATTTGTAGCAGCAAGGCTGGGGACAATGCGATTTTCTTTCAGGAAATGTATGGAAAAATTCCATTTAGTTATTTTTTCATGATTTGGGATTGACCCCAACCCTGATGTTAAGTGTGTGCAACATTGAAGATGGTCAGATGTGGTTCATAGTGTCAGGTTTTGTCAAGCTGCCACCCTTTACAAAGCTCACATGGCTCAACTGAGTGACCACGACCGACAAACTTGCAGCCAAAGCTATTGACATGACATGTTCCCCTATGCAATTGTGTATGATTTGTTTAGTTGTTGACTAATTGTAATTCAGGCCAGTGCCATAGGAGTTACAACTCTATAAATTGGTTATAAAGCCTGCTGAGCTGACTATCCCTGTGTCTGTTCACACTGTACAGTATCCTCAAGGGTCACCCAGGATGACACCTTTATTCTGTTTCTCTCCTCGTTCCAATCAAACAACTTGAGGAGAAACAAAGTAGCGCAGAAGTGTCATGGCTTTTACTTCTGTGGGCTTCAATGACCCCCTCATGTTTTCTCTCTCTGGTTTTCTGTGTTCAGTAATGTAATGAAGGGTCTTTTGTCTCATTCCAGTTGATGCGTGGACAGTAGCCTTCTCCCCAGACTCCAAATACATTGCCACAGGAAGCCATCTTGGAAAGGTCAACATCTTTGGGGTTGAAAGCGGCAAGAAGGAGTACTCTTTGGACACCAGAGGGAAATTCATACTGAGTATAGCCTACGTAAGAAACAATCAAGATTGAATGTCGTGTTTATTGTGGGCCATTTTACTGATCATTGCAGTGGAACAAGTGTTCACTCAAAATACATGTTATAGGTCGTCTCATCTCCCCCACACACACATTTTTCACACTTATACAGTGTTCGCTAGTTTCAACAACATAAAACAGTGAAATCTGTATTTTGACAGCACTAGGCCTTTTTATAATAACACCATGCACACATACAATTAGCATAAGGGCTCTCCATTTGCACTCTGGGAGAGCAATTTGCGCAAATTACTTAATGCGCATCTCTGTAAATGCACTACACCCAACACATAGGCTAGTCGTTATGAGTTATTATGTTGACTCGAGTATAGAACATTTCTGGGAACACAATTATATTTCTAATACTTGTTTCGATGTGTCACTTATGGGGATATGCCTTAGGGCGGGGTCACAAGCTCAAAGTATCCAATCACACAACATCTGTTGGACAGGTCGTGTGGCGAATGAGGTGAGCCCCTCTCCTCCATAAAGGGAGCCACTCGCCCGCCAACTGGTCATTCTCGTGACTTCTTTGCGGAAGTGACTGTGTTCACTGAAAGCTTTCCTCAGAGTGACTAGATTCCTGCCTTCCTACTGAACCGTTCTCAGGCTACCCGCTGATGAATGTAGGACATCAGCTCCTGTTGATAGTGTTGAGTACAGACTGAAAGGTACGTTTTGCTTAGCGTATAATTCATTTTCTACTCGTCTCCGTTTAGCTAGTGCCACACGGCTAGCTATCGAGACTTTGTTAGCTCTCGCCGCAAGGCTTTAGCTAACTTGGCTAGCTAGCTGCAAGGCTAGCTAGCCACACAAAGGGGTAGCTCTCGCCGAAAGGCTTAAGCTAACCCATCTAACTCACCGCAAGGCTAGCTACACCAAACTAGCTTTTCTACCTGCAACGGTAGAATTGCTAGCTCTCCTCTGGTGTTTAGCACAACACGCTCACAGGCCGTGTTGACTAGACTGACCACCCTAGCTTCACAGCCCGACGCTCGAGAGACACACTGTTCGTGGAGAGACAAAGAAGGCATGCGCTTTCTCTGGCAAGCAGTGTGCTAACTAGCTAGGCTATTAGCCACGAGGCAAACGCTAGCTAGCACACACTTTGCTTGAGGAATACTATTCCTCTGAGCCATGGAGCCTGCTACCCTTGCACAGGGAGAACCTAGCAGGCCTCCTGGCCCCACCCTTGAACTGGCACACCCGTGCCAATGCGGGGCGACGATAGCAGGAAATGATACACACCCCTGAGCACGCTGCGACATCACCCGCTAACCTGCTAACTCCCATCACCGGCGAGTGCACAGAGCAAACCCTAAACACGACTTGTCGCCCTCGCAGCCTTCGGGCAATGAGGCTAACCCACATACCCTACCCTCTTGAGAGGAGGCTACAGTTGAAGTCGGAAGTTTGCGTACACCTTAGCCAAATACATTTAAACTCAGTTTTTCACAATTCCTGACATTTAATCCTTGTTAAAATTCCCTGTCTTAGGTCAGTTAGGATCACCACTTTATTTTAAAAATGTGAAATGTCAGAATAATAGTAGAGTGATTTATTTCAGCTTTTATTTCTTTCATCACATTCCCAGTGGGTCAGAAGTTTACATACACTCAATTAGTATTTGGTAGCATTCCCTTTAAATTGTTTAACTTGGGTCAAATTTTTTGGTAGCCTTTCACAAGCTTTCCACAATAAGTTGGGTGAATTTGGGCCCATTCCTCCTGACAGAGCTGGTGTAACAAGGAGGGTTTGTAGGCCTCCTTGCTCGCACACGCTTTTTCAGTTCTGCCCACACATTTTCTATAGGATTGAGGTCTATTAAAATGCTCAGAATGTGTCTCCGAGTGCTTGGATTGATGGCATCCACCATTTCCATATTAACGCGGGGACTACTGAGAAATACTTTCAGCGTTGGGGTGCTGACCACCTTCGCCTGTGTCCACAGATGGCGGTGACCAAGGACTGTCTCTCGGCTCTCCGCCACCTTTGATCTTCGTTTCAGGCACTCCTCTAGGGCAGGGTTTCCATTAGCTGGCAGATAAATACAATTTTGCACAGGCCAATTGTCCGGGAGAAGAAATAATGGCATTGCGAAATTAATTTTAGCTTATTCATTGATGTAGATACCAGTCGATGTAAATACATTTGACAGGTCATGCTTATTGGTCTATAGGTTAATTTGCATCATTTAGTGGAATGAAATTGGCGCGTGTATATTCATTATTTACATTTGTCATTTAGCAGACGCTCTTATCCAGAGCGACTTACAAATTGTTATGTATCTTATTAATCACACGCATACAGATAGAGCGCCTTTGAGCAAAAATATGTCAGACAGCGCGAGGGCTGCTGCTGCAGCATCTCAAACTGCAAATGCATAAGCAACGAAGGCGGGTTTCATCAGCACATCACTTTGCAATGAGCTGGAGGCAGTATGCATTTTGAAAACATATTTGTATTGATTAGGGATCACCATTAGCTGGTGCCAAGGCAGCAGCTACTCTTCCTGGGGTCCAAACACATTAAGGCACTTATATTACATATAAAACAAAAGATAAAACAGTACATCATACAACATTATTACACCACCACATACAAAATGTATAATACAACCATACAACAATATTAATGTACGTGTGTGTAGAGTGCGTGTACTAGCGCTTGTGTGTGTAGGCGTCTGTACCTTGTGTGTCTTTTCAGTCCCCGCTGTTCCTTAAGGTATATTTGTATCTGTTTTTTAAATCTGATTCTACTGCTTGCATCAGTTACCTGATGTGGAATAGAGTTCCATTTAGTCATGGTTCTATGTAGTTCTGTGCGCCTCCCATAGTCTATTCTGGACTTGGGGATTGTGAAGAGACCTCTGGTGGCATGTCTTGTGGGGTATGCATGGGTATCCGAGGAGTGTGCTATTCGTTTAAACAGACAGCTCGGTGCATTCAGCTTGTCAACACTTTACAAAAACAAGTAGTGATGAAGTCGATCTCTCTTCCACTTTGAGCCATGAGAGATTGACATGCATATCATTAATGTTAGCTCCCCGTGTACTTTAAAGGGCCAGCTGTGCTGCCCTGTTCTGAGCCAATTGAAATTTTCCTAAGTCCCTCTTTGTGGCACCTGACCACACGACTGAACAGTAGTCCAGGTGCGACAAAACTAGGGCCTATAGGACCTGCCTTGTTGATAGTATTGTTAAGAAGGCAGAGCAGCACTTTTATGGACAGAGTTCTCCCCATTTTAGCTACTGTTGTATCAATATGTTTTGACCATGACAGGTTATAATCCAGGGTTACTCCAAGCAGTTTAGTCACCTCAACTTGCTCAATTTCCACATTATTCATTACAAGATTTAGTTGAGGTTTAGGGTTTAGTGAATGGTTTGTCCCAAATGAAATGCTTTTGAAATATTTAGGACTAACTTATTCCTTGCCACCCATTCTGAAACTAACTGTAGCTCTTTGTTAAGTGTTGCAGTCATTTCAGTTGCTGTGGTAGCTGATGTGTATAGTCATCCACATACATAGACATACTGGCTTTACTCAAAGCCAGTGGCATGTCGTTAGTAAAGATTGAAAAAAGTAAGGGGCCTAGACAGCTGCCCTGGGGAATTCCTGATTCTATCTGGATTATGTTGGAGTGGCTTCCATTAAAGAACACCCTATGTGTTCTGTTAGACAGGTAACTCTTTATCCACAATATAGCAGGATGTGTAAAGCCATAACAAGTTTTTCCAACAGCAGACTATGATCGATAATGTCAAAAGCCGCACTGAAATCTAACAAAACAGCCCAACAAACTTTTTATAATCAATTTCTCTCAGCCAATCATCAGTCATTTGTGTAAGTGCTTGTTGAATGTCCTTCCCTATAAGCGTGCTGAAAGTCTTGTCAATTAGTTTACTGTAAAATAGCATAGTATCTGGTCAAACACAATTTTTCCCAAAAGTTTACAAAGGGTTTGTAACAGGCTGATTGGTCGGCTATTTGAGCCAGTAAAGGGAACTTTACTATTCCTAGGTAGCGGAATGACTTTTGCTTCCCTCCAGGCCTGAGGGCACACACTTTGTAGTAGGCTTACATTTTAAGATATGGCAAATAGGAGTGGAAATATCGTCCGCTATTAACCTCAGTAATTTTCCATCCAAGTTGTCAGACCCCGGTGGCTTGTCATTGTTGATAGACAACCATTTTTTCACCTCTTCCACACTCACTTTACGGAATTTAAAAGTACAATGCTTGTCTTTCATAATTTGGTCAGATATACTTGGATGTGTAGTGTCAGCGTTTGTTGCTGGCATGCCATGCCTAAGTTTGCTAATCTTGAAAATCTAAAAAATCATTAAAGTAGTTGGCAATATCAGTGAGTTTTGTGATGAATGAGCCATCTGATTCAATGAATGATGGAGCCGAGTTTGCCTTTTTGCCCAAAATTTCATTTAGGATGCTCCAAAGCTTTTTAATATCATTCTTTGTTTCATAGTATCTTTTTTTATTTAGTTTAGTCACATGATTTCTCAATTTGCAGTTCGTTTGTCAATCGGTTTTATTGCCAGACTTATTTGCCATAGCTTTTGCCTCATCCCTCTCAACCATACAATTGTTAAATTCCTCATCAATCCATGGGAATTTAACTGTTTTTAGTCATTTTCTTAGTGGGTGCATGCTTTTTAGTAACTGGAATAAGCAATTTCATAAATGTCTTAAGTGGCTACTATATTGTGATCAATACATCCTATGGATTTGGATACTGCTTTAACGCAAATTTCTGCAGCATTAGTAAAGACGTGATCAATACATGTTGATGATTTCATTCCTGTGCTGTTTGTAACTACCCTGGTAGGTTGACTGATAACCTGAACCATGCTGCAGGCACTGGTTACAGTTTGAAGCATTTTCTTGAGTGGGCAGCTTGATGAAAGCCAGTCAATATTGAAATCACCTAGAAAATATACCTCTGTTGATATCACATACATTATCAAGCATTTCACACATTATCCAGATACTGACTGTTAGCACTTGGTCTATAGCAGCTTACCACAAGAATGGGCTTTAAGTGAGACAAATGAACCTGAAGCCATATTACTTCAACAGTATTTAACATGAGATCCTCTCTAAACTTGATAGGAATGATGTTTCGGATTTCATTAAGAAGGACCACACATTGTTACATCCTCGATTTGCATGTTCTGATGAGATGAATTACCATAATCTAAATGTGATTTCTGTCATTATGAGCACCCGTAGGTGGATGCCCTAATCAGGTTACGCAGCCAATGCATATGGGTCCGGTACATTTCTCAAATGTCCAGTAAATTAAAATGCTGCTGGTCAAATGTCCAGCGCCACATTTTCTCAACGGAAACCCTTCCCTAGAGATAGTGTCATCGAGGAAGATGGTGACGACAGACGCGTCACTCACAGGGTGGGGCGCAGTTCACGAGGGAAGAGCAATAAATGGATTGTGGTCCCCACAGCTCGGCCGTGCTCAGATAAATTACCTCGAACTGCTCAGTGTTTCTCGCATAGATACACTGCTTTCACTACTCACGTGGGAGCTGACTTGTTATCCAGAGGGAATCCCCTATACGGGGATTGGAGACTGAACTAGATCTGGGAGAGATACGGTCTAGCCACTGTAGATCTCTTTGCATAACACAAACAAACGGGGGGTCACATGTGGCTCAGTTGGTAGAGCATGGCACTTGCAACGCCAGGGTTGTGGGTTCGATTACCACGGGGGACCAGTACAAATAGAAAAATGTATGCACTCTACTGTAAGTCGCTCTGGATAAGAGCGTCTGCTAAATTACTTTAAAAATCTAAATGTAGCAGGATACGCACCACTGTGACTGGAAACACTGGCACACCCTTGGCCAAGTGTGATGCTCTGCGTGTTTCCTTATCTATGCTTGATTCTCCCCACTCTCAACAGAGTGAGGGAAGAAAGACTATCCTTCATCTTGGTAGCCCCTCGAGATCATTCTCCTGCTTTGATGACGAGCCCTGGGAACTACCGTTATGCAGGGATCTTTTGACCCAGCTGAACTGAGATTTTCCACCCTCACCCCTGAAACTATGGCCCTCTGGGCCTGGTCCGTGAGAGGTTAAATCTAAATGTGACAGGCTTGTCTCTGAGTCATTTTGCCTGTCCAGAGTGCCAGGGCTCCTTCTACACGCTCACTGTATGGAAACAATTGGTGCATTTTTTGAGAACTTGTGTGACCGAAAAGCAGTGGTTGGAACCAAAATTATTTTCCAATCTTTCCTTCTCAGAACCATAATTCTTTCCCATTCCTTTCCACTGTTCCGACCAGCAAAATAAAGTTCTGAACCAGTTCGAAACCCCCAAAAAGTACCAGTTTATGTAATTCCTTTCTGTTCCTTTTTAAAACTCCTGAAATTATTATTTTTGTTTTGTTTACGTTTAGCTCTACATTATTTCACTAGTCATTGCGGATAGAGCAGCTTGCTGTGGAGCGGGTAAGACATTTTAATCTGTATAGGAAAGTCGTTAAGAGCTAATTGTATTGCCATAACAGCATGGTTTAATCATAATGAAAGACAAACACACTGTGCTGCCAGTCACAGTGTAGGGCGCGATACACAACATTTTTAGGGTGGGGATGGAGGAAGAGTGCTTTGAAGCTCTGGGCATTTTGTTATGACATGCATTATCTGAGTTAGGCCCACAGAATTATACCTACGGAGGAGTGGCTTCTATGGAGGAACTTTGAATGTCTTTGAAATTCCGAGTTGGTTTAACGTTGGACCATTGCAAATGTTAGCTAGCTAGCTAATAAGTTTGTGTTTGCAGAGCAGCACTAGAATTAAAAACACGTCTTACCTTTTTTGTAGTTAATAAATCCAATGTGAAACGTGATAACTATAGGATCCTTAACTAGCATTGGATTTCTGAATTACACTTGTAACATTGTCAGTAGGCTATAGTAACCTATGCTTCAGAAGGGAGGGGCAGGTAGCCTACACACACGCACACCCACTGGCAAAGATGTCCAGCTGGCAGGCAGACGCTGCAGTAAGTTTCTGAGTGACAGAATGAGGGCTTTGCATAGGTGTTTTTTTTGCGATTTGTGGGACTGGGAAAAAATGCCCGGAACGTAAAATAACGTTATCAACCGGTTCCCATGCTTTTAACCACCTAGTTGATTTCCACGTCCGCGGCAATCTAATTAGCATAATAAAAAAATCCCCTTTTTAAACTAGTTTAAGCTAGAGATCTGTATTTTTTTGCATTGGATGCATCTCAATCCACCACATCCGCAGTGAAAGGTGGCAGAGCTAGAGCCGTGTTTGTCAGAGAATGAGACATCCCGAAAATCTGTCTTCTCATGAAAACGTTTGTAGCGTCCAAACTATTATGACCCCTCTATGGAAAGATTACTCTCACGAACATCATGGTGTGCTCCGTTTTGCTCTATGAACCCCCCCCCCCCCGTAATAGCAAGGGTTTACAGCCCCCGGGGGGCCTGAGGGCTCATTCCTGCAGAGGTATGGCTACCTCTTGGGCACTGTTCAAAGGCAACATTTGCAAGGCGTCATGTTGGGCCACCCCTCATACTTTTGAGGTTTTACCGACTGGATGTAACTGCACCTTCATTGGCGCGTACTGTCTGAGACCTGAGGGGTGATGCTATTGGAACTACCCTGGCTTTGAAGAGCATGTCTGCGTTACAGGAGTTGGCCATATCCCATAAGTGACACGTCGAAACGAGTATTAGAAATAGAACTTTGGGTTACTTTCGTAACCCTGGTTCTATGAGAATACGAGTGAGATGTCACTGCTTTTCCCTGCTTGCAAGAGCGCAAGGAAGAGAGGCATGCTCGAGAATAACCAGTTGGCGGGCGAGTGGCTCCCTTTTATGGAGGAGAGCGACTCACTTCATTCGCCACTCGACCTGGAGGAGAGGGACTCACTTCATTCGCCACTTGACCTGTCTCTGACAGACACTGTGTGATTGGATACTTCGAGCTTGTGACCCGCCCTGCTTTTCCCATAAAACCAGGGTTACACAAGTAACCTAACATTTTAAAGAACTGAGTGGCTGCTGATCAGACTTTTCCCTGACCTTTTTTTCAGAGCGCTAAAGGTCCCGAAGCTTATGCGCATGTTTATTCTCTACTTTAAGTAGTATAGAACAGGCTACTGGCGCTTGTTTAATATAGTTAGATGAAAGCTGAATCAATGTCTGCAAGAACCCCCCCCCCCCACCCCACATTTTTCTCTCATGTGGCCAAAACTCAATAGTGCGTACCTCTAGGCAAAATATCAAATCGTATGTCACATGCGCCAAATACAACAGGTGTAGACCTTACCGTGAAATGCTTACTTACAAGTCCTTAACCAACAAAGCAGTTAAGATAAATAAGAGTTAAAAAAATATGTACTAAATCAACACTAAAATAACAATAACGAGGCTACATACGGGGTACCGGTATCGAGTCAATGTGGGGGGGTACAGGCTAGTCGAGGTAATATGTACATGTAGGTAGGGGTGAAGTGACTATGCATAGATAATAAACAGCGAGTAGCAGCAGCAATGGTTCAGGTAGCTTTTCAGCAGTCTTATGGCTTGGGGGTAGAAGCTGTTGAGAAGTCTTTTGGACCTAGACTTGGCGCTCCGGTACCACTTGCCTTGCGGTAGTAGAGAACAGTCTGACTAGGGTGGCTGGAGTCTCTAAATTTTTAGGGCCTTCCACTGACACTGCCTGGTATAGAGGTCCTGGATGGCAGGAAGCTTGGCCCCAGTGATGTACTGGGCCGTACGCACTACCCTCTGTAGTGCCTTGAGGTCGGATACCGAGGAGTTGCCATACCAGACGGTGATGCAGCCAGTCAGGATGCTCTGGTGCAACTGTATAACTTTTTGAGGATCTGAGGACCCATGTCAAATTCTCCTGAGGGGGAATAGGCATTGTCGTGCCCTCTTCACGACTGTCTTGGTGTGTTTGGACCATGATAGTTTGTTGGTGATGTGGACACCAAGGAACTTGACGCCCTCGACCAGTAGGCTAGCTACAGTTTAACACCATCTGCTCTAAATTTCACTCACTTTACATCATTCAACTACTTCGAAACGACACTATAACTCTGATCTAAATGCATATTCCCATGAGACTGAGATCAAATGGTTGGTATGGAGATGCTGCATGGTTATTTCACCGGTAAAACTATAAGCGTTATCATTCACGATTGACAGTGCAAAATGTGAAGGGAAAGACCCAACAAATCTGTGTGTAAAGTAGAGGTAAAGAAACATGCGCAGAAGCTTTGGGACCTTTAGCGCTCGGGAAGAAAGGTCCAGAAAAGTCGGATCCGCAGCCACAGCCTTTAAAGAATTGGCTGTGCTGCAACTATCAAATGTTCCTGATAATTAATTAACTTCTTCAGCTGGCAATGGTATCATAGTTTTTATCCCACATTTTGCCTTTGACTACACCAATAACATCTAGTTAAACGTTAAAATACAACAGTTCAAAGCAAGCTTTATAACTATCAGAAATACTTGAATTTGATATTTCCCTATTATTTTCTTCCCCAGAGTCCAGACGGAAAGTACTTGGCTAGTGGAGCTATAGATGGAATCATTAACATCTTTGACATTGCCACTGGGAAACTACTCCATACGCTCGAAGGTACATTCTCTGGCCTCTGTGTCCCTCAACTACTTTTCTTCCACTCCATCTCAGTAGCTAGGTTTCCATCCAATTGGCGACAGGTTTTCATGTGAATATTCTAAAATCAGCATAAAAACAATGTGCATTTTCCCACCAGAGATGTTTCCATCAAATTGACTTGTTGCGGATAAATTCCCATGTAACAAATAAAAAATACAAGTAAATGGGTTTCTACCGCATTTAACTCTACTGATCATTTTTGTCGCGAAAAGAAAGTGTTATATAGCGAATGTGGTCTTTACACGTACGCTCTAGTCATCAGCTCGCAGACAGTGGGAATAGGCTAGCTACACATCTATTATGTACAAAAGAGTGAGATTTATTTTTATTTGTCAAACTGCAGCCAACCACCAATCGTCATGTCACCAGAATAAGACCCTTGATATTTATTGGAAAGCAGCATCAAGCTCATCACTGTGCACTTTAAACACCCTGTGAAGTTCATTATAACTTATTTCATCTGAAGCCTAATAAACTTAATGCTTTCCCGAGTCATAGTGGGATAATATACCATTGTGTGATTCCAAGTTTAGTCGATATGGTTATTATATCAATGTTTGCACATAAAGGCATTTCTACCATTTCTTGCATAATTCATTTTACCGGCACAAAAAGAGCCCACCTTAGCGTATTTTGTTTTGTCGACATTTGGAAAGTTTACTGAAACATTTGCTTTTTCCATCAGGCCTGTTGTGAAATGTATTTGTTTTATCAAATGTACTTAACTCTCATAAAAAGGTTGGATGGAAACGTGGTTAGTGAAACATTTCACTGGCTGCTATGTGACTCAATCTACAATGGACAATGTAATGCGTCTTCAAATTGAAGGGGTATAGCTCTCACGAATTGTCAGCACTATATCTCTGTCTGAAGACAAGCTGTGTGTGTGTGTGTGTTTTAATCGAGCATGCTGTCTCCCTCTCTGTAGGTCACGCCATGCCTATCAGATCGCTGACGTTCTCTCCAGACTCACAACTCTTGGTCACTGCCTCAGATGATGGCTACATCAAGATTTATGACGTGTAAGTTCACTGGGGAGTTAATGGCCATCTGACTTGACTGCTCTCATTTTAGGGTATTGTGGTGTAGAATTAGAATCCTACAGACTGTTCCAAATAAAACAATTTATGGCTGTATTGCTTTGTGTTTTTAAGGCAATGTATCTATGAATTGAATGTTGGGGATATATTTGACATAACTTTCTAAATCTTGGTGGTTCTCTTTTGAGATCCAAATGAAATGTCAAATTACAGTATGTCGCACAGGTCCACGCTGACTTCCAGTGATGGCTCACCCTGAAATCACCCCAAAGTCTGTCAGACCTTTTCAGACCTCAGCAGTGGTCTGATGCCAAGCAGAGTCCCTATTCTCATATGTTGCTGTTGCTATCACGTTCCTTTTTTGGAAGACAAAATAACTATTTGAAAAAAGTATTAACTGACGCAGATATGGTTGCAAAGCTACCAGTAATAATATGGCAACCTTTTGTTAATTTATAAATATATAGTATATTTTTATATCGTCCATGAGTTTCTAGTGGTTAGACCATATGGTTCAAGAGAAAATAGCCTAATTAATGAAAAAAGCATCTAATCAACAATGGCATTATTTTCAATTAACTCTGCAACTCTTCCAACTATTGACTTTTTTCACAACTGCCACCAGTTTGGAGCCAAAGCATTGACAACAAAGACATGGTAAAATAAACAAGTGTGTAAATATAAGAAAACAGGTTTTTAGAAATGTTTGCAAATGAATTCAAAATAAAAAACAGATACCTTATTACATAAGTATACAGACCCTTTGCTATGAGACTCGAAATTGAGCTCAGGTGCATCCTGTTTCTATTGATCATCCTTCAGATGTTTCTACAACTTGACTGAAGTCCACCTTTGGTAAATTCAATCAATTGGACATGATTTGGAAAGGCACACACCTGTCTATATAAGGTACCACAGTTAACAGTGCATGTCAGAGCAAAAACCAAGCCATGAGGTCAATGGAATTGTCCGTAGAGCTCCGAGACAGGATTGTGTCGAGGCACAAATCTGGGGAAGGGTACCAAAACATTTCTGCAGCATTGAAGGTCTCCAAGAACACAGTGGCCTCATCATTCTTAAATGGAAGAAGTTTGGAACCACCAAGACTCTTCCTAGAGCTGGCCGCCTGGCCAAACTGAGCAATCGGGGGAGAAGGTCCTTGGTCAGGGAGGTGACCAAGAACCCGATGTTCACTCTGATAGAGCTCCAGAGTTCCTCTGTGGAGATGGGAGAATCTTCCGGAAGGACAACCATCTCTGCAGCACTCCACCAATCAGGCCTTTATGGTAGAGTGGCCAGACGGAAGCCACTCCTCAGTAAAAGGCACATGACAGCCCACTTGGAGTTTGCAAAAGGCACCGTCACGTCTGGAGGAAACCTGGCACCATCCTTACGGTGAAGCATGGTGGTGGCAGTATCATGCTGTGGGGATGTTTTTCAGCAGCAGGGACTGGGAGACTAGTCAGGATCGAGGGAAAGATGAACGGAGCAAAGTACAGAGAGATCTTTGTTGAAAATCTGCTCCAGAGCGCTCAGGACCTCAGACTGGGGCGAAGGTTCACCTTCCAACAGGACAACGACCCTAAGCACACAGCCAAGACAACGCAGGATTGGCTTCAGGACAAGTCTCTGAATGTCCTTGAGTGGCCCAGCCAGAGCCCGGACTTGAACCCGATCGAACATCTCTGGAGAGACCTGAAGATAGCTGTGCAGCGACGCTCCCAATCCAACCTGACAGAGCTTGAGAGGATCTGCAGAGAAGAATGTGAGGAACTCCCCAAATACAGGTGTGCCAAGCTTGTAGCGTCATACCCAAGAAGACTTGAGGCTGTAATCGCTGCCAAAGCTGTTTCAACAAAGTACTGAGTAAAGGGTCTGAATACTTATGTAAATGTTATATATATATATATATATATATATATATATATATATATATATATTAGTTTTTTTACATTTACAGGAATTTCTAAACCTGTTTTTGCAAAAGTATGGACACCCCTTCAAATGAGTGGATTCGGCTATTTCAGCCACACCCGTTGCTGACAGGTGTGTAAAATCGAGCACACAGCCATGCAATCTCCATAGACAAACTTTGGCCTTACTGAAGCGCTCAGTGACTTTCAACGTGGCATCCTGTCATAGGACCTTTCCAAGTCAGTTCGTCAAATTTCTGCCCTGCTAAAGCTGCCCCGGTCAACTGTAAGGGATGTTATTGTGAAATGGAAACGTGTAAGAGCAACACTGGCTCAGCCGCGAAGTGGTGGGCCACAAGCCCACAGAACGGGACTGCAGAGTGCTGAAGCACGTAAAAATCTGTTGTCCTTGGTTGTAACATTCACTACCGAGTTCAAAACCTGCCTCTGGAAGCAACGTCATTACAAGAACTGTTCGTCGGGAGCTTCATGAAATGGGTTTCCATGGCCGAGCAGCTTGCACACAAGCATAAGATCACCATGCGCAATGCCAAGCGTTGGCTGGAGTGGTGTAAAGCTCACCACCATTGGACTCTGGAGCAGTGGAAGAAATGTGTTCTCTGGAGTGATGAATCACGCTTCACCATCTGGCAGTCCGATGGACAAATCTGGGTTTGGCGGATGCCAGGGGAACGCTACCTGCCCCAATGCATAGTGCCAACTGTAAAGTTTGGTGGGGAAGAAATAATGGACTCGGGCTGTTTTTCATGGTTCGGTCTAGGCCCCTTTCAGTTCCAGTGAAGGGAAATCTTAAGGCTACAGCATACAATGACATTCTAGACGATTCTGTGCTTCCAATTTTGTGGGGAAGGCCCTTTCCTATTTCAACATGACAATGCCCTGTGCACAAAGCGAGGTCCATACAGAAATGATTTGTCGAGAGCGGTGTGGAAGAACTTGACTGGCCTTCACAGAGCCTTGACCACAACCCCATCGAACACCTTTGGGATGAATTGGAACACCGACTGCGAGCCTGGCCTAATCGCCTAACGTCAGTGCCCGACCTCACAAATACTCTTGTGGCTGAATGGAAGCAAGTCCCTGCAGCAATGTTCCAACATCTAGTGGAAAGTCTTCCCAGAAGAGTGGAGGCTGTTATAGCAGCAAAGGGGGGACCAACTCCATATTAATGCACATGATTTTGAATTGAGATGTTCGATGAGCAGGTGTCCACATACTTTTGGTCATGTGGTGTATTTGATTAACACTTGGAAAATGTTGTTTTGCAGGCAGCATGCCAAGTTGGCAGGCACTCTAAGTGGCCACGCGTCCTGGGTCCTCAACGTAGCTTTCTCCCCCGACGACACGCATTTTGTGTCCAGGTAAAGTGTGTATGCTTGCTTGTGTTAAATCAGTAACAGTTTTGGTTTATAATAGTGAGATCCCAGATCATATTTGATGTGATTTAATAATGGCAGGTGCCAAGGTCTAATTCAAAGACCATAGAACCATTGTCACCTGCATTTCTTTCACCAATCCAGTCATAACTTCAATGATGGGAGAAGGAAGAGACCCTATTTCCAAAGTGCTCCAACAAGTTTTTTTTGTTTCACACACATTCAGATTTTTGGGCTAGAGTCTACAAACTACAAATGAAAGGTGTGACTCCAAGAAGAAGTGTTTTGAATTATTGGGGATGACAAGAAAAAATACTTTTTTGTCTTTGCTCCTCTCAGCTCCTCAGACAAGAGTGTAAAGGTTTGGGACGCCAGCACCAGGGCGTGTGTCAACACATTCTTCGACCATCAGGACCAGGTGAGAACATTCAGTCAACTCCCAACGGCTAATGGAACATTTTGTTGATCCTGAGGACCATACATTTGATATAGAAAGCACTTCTCGTTTTACAATCTAAAAAGTGCATTCAGTGAAGTGCATGTTGGGGGAACAGGACTCATAGCCTTAATCCGCCATATTATTTTCACCTACAGTCTGATCACAAAAGAAAGAAAATGAGGGAAGGGATTAATAAGACCATTTGGTCTAAAGCCATATACAATACAGTACACTCATCTCTCACCCCCTTTGGTGTGATAGTGGCTGGCCACTCAAAACAGAATATGGGAATTGATGTGGCTGTTGTCCTACTATGCCCCCTCCTGTCTTTCTGTTATGTCTCAGCGCTGGCAGACTGAATAATCCGAGCTGTCGTTAGTCTCTACTGCAGACGCCTGTAGGGAGGCTTAATCTTCTCTGGAAGAAAGCTACAAATGTACAGACATTGCTCTGAGGAGAGGAGAGATCAGAGGCAGTCGAGTGTCTAGTCTGCTTTCCATTTTTAGCCTCTGTCTGAATGAAAGCTGCTGGGAGGTCAGAATGATACGGCCAAGTGCAGCGGATAAAATAATCTTTATTTTGTAGCAGTGTCTCTCGTTCCGACTGGTCACAATAGACGGAGGAGCTCTTCTTGCTTTTCAGAGGTCGACAGTGTGTAATGGGTTGTTGATGAAAGAACATCCCTTGGTTGTCCCACCACAATTTGCTCATTTCAAAGGGTGCATTTATTTTACAGAATAGTAAAAGATCTGAAATCTTGTCTGAATACATTTGATGGTGCAGACAAGATGCAGCCTTCCGTCGTACAACTGCATTCTAAACTGGTTTTGAAATGCCTGCAGTGTATTTTATGTGACATGGTGCGTTTTGACAACTGTGCCGCTGTTTTTACACTTAACTGCTGCCCTGAATGTTGTTCAAGTCTTGTCTGCTGTTTCCCCCCCCCCCTAGGTGTGGAGTGTGAAATACAACGGCACAGGTTCTAAGATCGTATCTGTTGGAGATGACCGGGCCATCCATATCTACGATTGTCCCATGTGATGCATCAGCTCTCATTCCTACCACCTCTCCCAGCAGCAGACCAGGCAGCCTGAATACTGGCACTCTTAAACCAAGGGAAGCAGGGCGTTCTAGTAAGAGGACCACAAGAACATAGCTTATCTTGCCTGGCTCATCCTGCTTATGGTGCAGCTCAATATTCTGACTTGCTCTCCTTCCTCTCATCTGCACTGATCTGAAAACATAACAGGCATTTGCATTCACAAGCCCTGCTCCTTCTCGTGGAGATGGAAGGTGAGGAGAGGAAGTCTATTTAGACTATTGAGATGCACCTATGGCCTAGCTCAGTCAGAATAGCCCATGGTTGCTCCACTGAGCCAGAGCTAAACTGCTCTGGATTCATCCACTGAAATCCAACAATGATTGCGGAAGAGGTTCAATGTCATTGATTATTTTGCACTTCACTGTACCTTGCCCTCCTTTTTGTTGTACTCAAAATAAAGGATTTTTTGTATTTTCATTTCCCCAACTAATTTAAGTTAATGCTCCTTCCTACCAGTGCATGATTTATTCAATTAACTTTAACATTTGCTGTAAATTATTTTCAGAATGGTAACCTAGTCATTTGTGGAGATCTAAACTAATGTCTGCCGCAAATGAAATTACCGCAGATGTTTCCCAGACAGTTTGAATGTTTAGAAAAACAGTTACCGTACACAGGATTTCTGCAAATTGACAGACTTCAGTGAAAAGTGTGGGCACGCAATTTTAATCGTCAGAACTTCCATCTTAGGCTGGCACCAAGGCTACAGTTAGTTATCCTATTACGTTACATACAATGTGCTCAAGAAGAAAGTATTGCAAACCAGTGCTCCATCCAGTGACCAAAAATTAATACTGCACATAGAATGAATTCCTATTCCAAAGCTTGTGTTTAAGAAAACGGTGCAACGTAACGGACACATTTGCACTTTGCCATGCCCATCGTAGAGAAAATGAGTTCACATTAAGGGGAGTTTTTCCCAACTGTCCATGTTCTTAAGGTGGCACAAAAGTAGATTAGGGTTCAGTGTTTCCCCTGGGATTTTTTCCCTTTGCCTGGGGGGGGGGGTATCCGTGGGAATGCAGCCCTGTGAGATTTTTTTTTTTTGTAGAATGACTTTTTTAGAAGGACAATTTAAATGTATCCCCAACTTATGCAGCATAGTGCGCTTTAAATAATTAGGCTGAAGCATGGGGTTGCCAATCAGCATTTACCTCATTGAAAATCCCCAAAACCCTCAATGCATCAATTGCTAATATATGTTGGAACTTGCCACTCCAGGGTTTTTACTAGAAGAAAAATTGGGTTTAGGTGGTGGGTGTGGTAGGTGGCAATTTGGCACAGTCTCAGGCAGAAAGTTTTAGAAGCCCACTTGGGTGCAGACTAAATGCAGCTGTTTTAAGTTAATTTCCTGCAATTCTTCACATTTTGTCATGGCTTATACAGTGTTATGTTATTTAACTCAAACATAACACAATCAATGGGGGTTCCATACCATGACATTTTTGTAATTTGATTCTCCCTGACAGTCTTTATTTTGGTGATAGTTAGTTCTCAAAGATCTTATTTTAAAATATGTCCATTCTTTTCTACATACTATCTGGTTTTAGTCAATTTGACACAAAACGTTTTACCATCCAGATTTTTATTTTAAGAATGTCATATTTTTGGGAGTGGGGTTAACATGGGTTGAAGGCAATTGGTGTAACTTTGAGGATCAAATCAGCTCCAGGCTGAAGAATTAGTCTGAAGTAGGCCTGTTGCCTGAAGCAGTACGAAGTCCAATCAATTTATAGTACAAACTGTCAATGACCTTGCGATTCAAATTCATTTTTGTGATTTATGATTTTTTGCTAAGCATTAGGAGAAACTTAAAGGCCTGAGAAAGGCTGTGACAGTATTTCAGATATTTCCCATCAAGTTAAAAGAACTTGTGCAAATCTATTTACACTTGATTTATCCTAAACACAGTTGTGACCTGAAATTGTTGCTAATTGTAAATCTCATTGAAGAAATCAGAACACTTAACCAGTTAACATGAATATACTTCACAACTGAGCATGGTACCACATATCTCAGAGCCAAATACCGCCACTCATATTTGAGGAATGTAGATGGGCTGACAGGCAAATTCATTGTGTGTGACTGCTTCCAAACAAGGTTAATTTCATGAACTGATATCAATGAAGTGCAACATATCACCCTTATTCACTAAAGCATATTACTGCACATACTCCATGAAATGTATATAGTACATTTAGAAACCATTAATTACACTGCAAAACCTAATTTTGGCCAAGAAACACTTCATAGAGCATTTTATTGTGGCATATTTCAGAAGGAGAATGGACTCCTGATGTTGGGCGATTCAGTCGGCGTTCCAATTCATCCCAAAGGTGTTCGATGGGGTTGTGATCAGGGCTCTGTGCAGGCCAGTCAAGTTCTTCCACACTGCTCTCGACAAACAATTTCAGGATGGACCTCGCTTTGTGCAGGAGTGCTTTGTCATGCTGAAACAGAAAATGGCCTTCCCCAAACTGTTGCCACAAAGTTGGAAGCACAGAATCCTCTAGAATATCATTGTATGCTGTAGCGTTAAGATCTCCCTTCACTGGAACTAAGGGGCCCAGACCGAACCATGAAAAACAGTCCGAGACCATTATTCCTCCTCCACCAATTTTTACAGTTGGCACTATGCATTGGGGCAGGTAGCGTTCTCCTGGCATCCGCCAAACCCAGATTCGTTTGTCGGACTGCCAGATGGTGAAGCGTTTCCACTGCTCCAGAGTCCAGTGGCAGCGAGCTTTACACCACACCAGCCGACGCTTGGCATTGCGCATGGTGATCTTAGGCTTGTGTGCGGCTGCTCGGCCATGGAAACCCATTTCAACCGAGGACAGATGTTTTTACGCTCTTCAGCGGTCCTGTTCTGTGAACTTGTATGGACTACCACTTTGCGGCTGAGCCGTTGTTGCTCTTAGATGTTTCCACCTCTGAAATAGCCGAATCCACTATTTTGAAGAGGTGTCCACATACTTTTGTATATATAGTGTCCTATTCCCAAAAGTCCACAAGCAATGAAGGCAGGAGTAGGTAGTATTGTTGTAAAATGTACATGTGTTGAGCAAGCACCAATCATTTTACCATGCAAAAGTGTTTACCAAGCCTACTTTCAAATAAACTTGCTTTACACAAATCATATTCAGAGAAAAGGGTACTAGAGAGCAGTTCTGCTCTTATTCAACATATCTTCCTAGGGTGGGGGGGGCTAACTTGTTTGTTGAATGTGATTATGGTGCTTGGCTAGAAAACCTGCCTGTCGACACAGGCTCTCAGCAGGGTTGTCTACATTACCTTTTCCAGTGAAACGCAACCATTGGGTAAATACATGAACAATACAAAGCTGACAACCCTGCAGAGATAAACATGTGCATTTTAAAATGAATATAAGAACCCATTTTTAAGGGCTACAGCTCAACTCACACACATTTTTCTCCATACCTCTAATTGACAAGTTCCAATATATACAGTTATACTCCCTGAAAACAGAAAAATACAAATCATAATTCCTCCTCTGTAACCTCTACCCAAACTCACATTAAAACAAAGGCAACAGAGTTTTTCAAAGGCAAACCGAACCGGCAATATGGGGGACCATGTAGCCATGTTTTGTCTGTGTTTGACAGTGTCCCTGGCTCCCTGGCCCAGTCTAGCCCGGGTCTGTCCCTGGTTGTCCCTCTGGTATTTACCAGTGTCTAGAGTTGACCAGCTCGGGCCGCAGGCTGAGTCTCTTGAGGGTCTCGTAGCCCACCACGATGACCACGGCTGTGGGGGTGGAGGAGATGATGCGGGCAGACAACCCCTTAGTCATCCCCCAGGGTCCTTCCTCTGCCAGCAGCTGCTTGAAGGTCGCAATGACCGATGACCTGCCCTCCACCTTAGGAGACACAGTGAGAAAGGTTAATATCATTTTTAAAAAATCCTTTAGAGTTTAGTGAGAAATCGATGGATCTAGGTGAAAAGACAAATGAGGAGTCCCTTTAGTGTCTTGACCAATACCTAATCAGTTGTTTCAATGTGTATTTAAGCTAGGCAAATCATTCTTATGAACGTTTAAATACCCCCTGAAACGTCCATATTTGTCATTTCAGAATGTTTGTAAAAGTTGGCCTGAAAACCCCTTGAACCTGCTTTGTAAAACATAATGAATAAGCCATTGAACTCATAAGTGCCTTGAACAGTATATACCCCCAGAATACAGTGCATTCGGGAAGTATTCAGACCCCTTGACTTTTTCCACTTTGTTACGTTACAGCCTTATTCTAAAATGGATTAAAGTGTTGTTTTTTCATCAATCTACACACAATAACCCATAATGACAAAGCAAAAACTGGCAAATGTATTAAAAATAAAAAACTGAAATTTCACATTTATACAAGTATTCAGACCCTACTTAGTACTTTTCTGAAGCGCCTTTGGCAGTGATTACAGCCTCAAGTCTTACTGGGTATGACGCCACAAGCTTGGCACATGTATTTGGGGAGTTTCTCCCATTCTTCTCTGCAGATCCTCTCAAGCTCTGTCAGGTTGGATGAGAAGCGTTGCTGCAGAGCTATTTTCAGGTATCTCCAGAGATGTTTGATCGGGTTCAAGTCCGGGCCACTCAAGGACATTCAGAGACTTGTTACGGAAGGCACTCCCGCGTTGTATTGGCTGTGTGCTGAGGGTCGTTGTCCTGTTGGAAGGTGAACCTTCGCCCCCAGTCTGAGGACCTGAGCGCCCTGGAGCAGGTTTTCATCAAGGATCTAGACAGATGTTTGCCTTTCCAATCAATTGAATTTACCACAGGTAGACTCCAATCAAGTTGTAGAAACATCAAGGATGATCAATGCAAACAGGATGCACCTGAGCTCAATTTCGAGTATCATAGCAAAGGGTCTGAATACTTGTGTAAATAAGGCATTTGTTTTATTTTTTATAAATGTGTAAATTTGTCTAAAAACCTGTTTTCGCTTTGTCATTATGGGTATTGTGTGTAGATTGATTCGATTTTTAATTTTTTAAAAATTCATTTTATAATAAGGCTGTAACATAACAAAATGTGGAAAAGGGGAAGTGGTCTGAATACTTTCCGAATGCACTGTAAATCCAATAAGAGGATCTGGTATGGTAAACTTGACATTGTTTGCAAACCATGTCACCAGTGATTACAAAAAGGATCAACTAAGACAATACCACTGAATATGAATGTGTCACTTCGTTCAGTTAAACCATAACAAGGATTGTTTTCAGGCAAAGCAATATACTTGTGGTTTTACCTGCACTCTGGCCCGTACAACATCCATGGGATTGGTGATGGTGGAGGCTGTGGCTGCTGCCATTGGCCCAGCGATGGCCTGCAGAAGCAGGTGAGGACAATCGCTGGGGGCTAGTTTGGAAAGGTTCTCTGTAAACAGGAGAAAATGTAAATCACAAAAACATTTCAGATCCATTTCAAGCAGCTTTAGAATTGCCCATGTCATGTAATATCATAGAAAACCTAGCTAAAATCTACTAGTGCTTGCTATATATAAAGAGTATATGTAAAGAATTGCCTACCTGCATAAAAATGATAAAAAGGCCACCACACCGCGCTGTTGGGGATGTAGGTGAGGAGGGATGCCACGTATCCCCGGTAAAATCCCCGGAAACCGTCAGCGGCGCATATCTGCACCACAATGTCCCTGCTTTGTCCGAAAGTCACTTTGCTCTTGGATGTCGCCATCATAATTTTGGGTTTGACCTTGAAGCGGCTCAGGTGTCCCCCCTGGCCTTGCATCATGAGCTGCTGAGAGACCATATCTATGGGCACAGTGATGGTCTGGGCCACCAGGGACGCCGCTCCCCCTGCCCACAGAGACTTCACTGTGTTATTGCTGGAATATTGGGACACATACTTCCTTACCAGTTCATAGGTGGTGATGTAGGCCTGGCCTGAGATCAAGGTGAAGGTGTTGACCATGAAGCCTCGATAGAGACCTCGCGGGCCCTCCGCCTTCAGGATCTTGTAGAAGGCGTCAAAGGTGCCCGTGTAGAGGGACTTGCCCTTCTGCACCTGCAGCCGGGTGCGGATGAGGGTGAACGGGTAGACTGTGGCCCGGGTGGTCATAGTCATGAACACACCCAGGGAGTAGAACTTTTTCTTGTCCAGGTCCTCCCATTCGATGATCCGGATGTTGCGTTTCTTCTCCTCCATCCTGCCTGCTGGAGTCCACAGCTCCTTGTTGAATGGACCGCGCCCTCCACACCACCTAATGGACCAAGAGAAGGACATTGAGGCAGATCGAAATCATGGGTCATTCTGCCTCAAAAAGCACAAAGATAGGATTTTGTCACTCACCATCTCAGATTGTTTTGAAATAATTCCTTCAACATTATTTTTATTGAAAGACAATATGAGGTCTGAGAAATGAAGCTAAATGATTGCACCCAAATTGGCCATTTCAATTGATAGAATTCATATAATATTCAATAAATAGTAACCAACATCTGATTTGGACCAAACCTCGTATTAGCAATGATTAAGATGTGAGGAACCCAAATAAATTGTCAAAAGCCAATCACTGACCCCCAAACCAAGCCCACCCCAACGGCCAGTTTACAGCATCAGTTCTCTGTCTGACGAGTACTATGAAGCTGCGACTAGGAGTATTGTTTCTTTCTTCATACTATGTAATGTATTCTCAGTTAATTTGGTGTTGGCCATCTTCCCCTGTTCAGAGACATTTGTCATTTAAGTTGTTAAGTTTATGTACCATCATACAACCACATATTACCAGGTTCTGACCACTAGTGGGTGCTGTTGAATGTCCCCCACCCCCTCAATGTTCATTTAAGACTGAACCTTGAAATGATAATGATTTATAAATGTAGGAATGAGTGACAAGTTAAAATTAGAACAATGTATTTGCCCAAATATATCAAAGAAAAAGCATATGAAAACAAAAAACTGCCTTGAGAACTACTCATTCCTCATTTCATTATTTCTTTGTTCAGTGCATCTTCTATTGCAGTGATGTCGCTACATCCAAATTGATATTGGCAAACAGTTGCAGTGGTTTGTTCCTTAATGATGCAGATGTTATGTACCAAAAACAAGCATCTGGTCTCTCTCCGTTTGGCCAAGAAAATGATCTTGCTGGATAACTCGGATGCATGAATTTCACATTTACATCCATGTTTTCATCATCCACAGAATCGGCAATTCCAATCCAGTATTCATCATCATAGCAGCAAACTAGAATATCAGATACTCGCATATTCACCATTGTATGCTCATCTATGGGTTTACCATGGACCAAGTCAAACTTAATGGCAAACTCTTTGCACCTATGAGGCTTTTGGAGAGTCGAACAAAGTGATGGAAGCTGCCGGTTTCTGGCAGAGTTCTTGAATTCTAGTTTGCTGCTATGATGAAGAGTACTGGATTGGAATTGCTGATGCTGTGGAGCAAGGTAATTTTCTTGGCCAAACAAAGGACAGGTTGTGTACCAAAAACAAGCATCATCTGCTCCATTAAAAGGAGAATTTGTATTATATTTTTGATATAAATGGCATGTTATAAAAGGTTCCAGACAGTTTTCTTTGCGATTTCACTTGTTTTTGATAAACTTACTCAGACTTACTGAGCCTCATTCTGGAGTGCCAGGCCGTCCAGAAAAACATGAACCAAGGCTCCAACACCCAAATACGTCCTTTTACAAATGGCAAAACTCTCAGTATCGTGATGCAGATCATTAGATGTTGTACACATGAAATTGTCATACCAAACTTTATCGGCAACGTTATAATCCATTTTGCGATAATTTCTGAAATAGAGATGATATGCTATAAAGATATGCTATAAAGCTAGCTAGCTAATAAAGTAGCATCACTGATGAAAGGGGGAACAATAAGTCTGTTGTTATTTAGCTTATGTTAGCTAAAGGTTTGCTTGCTACCTAACCAGCTTCGCAAGTGTGTGTTTTGGGATAGGGTAAACGACTAGCTACTTTCAGGTTGTTTTGAGCTTCGCTATTGTTATCATTCTGCAAAACATGTAGTTTGCCAATGTTTGATGGCTTAGAGCGCTTTCACATATCGGATCCTGTATCTTATGTACCCTGATAGGCTAGGTCTAGTTAGGTCTATAAAGCATGAGTGAAACGCAATATTGTACCCAGGCGAGTTGCGTGGAACTTTTTGTCCGTTGTAACCTACCTAGCTTGCTAGTTGAGAGAATGCCAAGAGTGTGCAAAGCTGTCATCAAGGCAAAGGGTGGCTACTTTGAAGAATCTCAAATATAACATATATTTTGATTTGTTTAACACTTTTTTGGTTACTACATGATTCCATATGTGTTATTTCATAGCTTTGATGTCTTCACTATTATTATACAATGTAGGAAATAGTACAAATAAAGAAAAACCCTTGAATGAGTAGGTGTGTCCAAACTTTTGACTGGTACCTTATATATTTGTGCCCATCTCAGTGAACTAATCCATTGCGGACACCTAAATTAAAAGTCAATTTATGCTTGATCCAAAAATGAGGTCAGAGGCTCCATATGGAGGGTGTGACGCAATTGCAGAGCCTCCAGAGGCATGCAGAGGCCAAATCAAGCTCCGTACCGCATCGCCTCCCAAATGTTGTAACAATGTGGAGGGCTCTGTATAGCTCCGCATTGACATGATTGGTTGACGGTAGAAAACACAAACTGACTTCCTTGACAACAGCTCTGCACTGCTCCGCGAAGCGCAAGAAGTATGTATGCCCTGACTTCTGCTGAGGCCATATCACCGTAAATGCTGCACGGCCAATGCAGACGTTGGATTGACCATGCACCCAGATGCACAATGCACTTCTCTCTCCAGAATGCGCTCTCTCCCGCCAATTTGTGCACATTCATTGTTTCATAACTTAATTGTGTGAATTGATTGCGTTTGATTGTTAGTGTATATCAATTCCCCATGACATATATCACTAGTAGTACATTTACCGTTAATTCCTATAATTTCTCATCTACAATGTTTGTTACTTTGGTTCCGGTAATTTCTGTTAATGCATTCAATATTATTATTCCAGTCTTCCCGTTATCATTGTCTGAGTGGACACATTGTTTGCAGAGTGTGAGAAACAAGTTTTGGTTTATTTCATTCCAATTACGAGTTTTGTCAATTTTGTCATTGTCTTTTGTTTGGAGCGCTCCTGTCAATGAGTAAGGACGCGCACCTGATTACGCATAGAAGTAGGCCTATAGGCTACCTGGCCTGCGCACAAATGTAGACATATAAATGTGCCCATTTGGGGATCTGATAGTATTTCTGATTGGCTTAATGCACCACCACTAATGAGCTGTGGAGCTTCTCAAAGTAATGCTTTTCTTCACCTCAAACAGCAAGCAAAATGTCTGTTTTTACATCCATTGAGAATTATAATAGTTCCTCAATGTATTTGAAAAATATTTCCAGCTCTCTCCCTTTCGATAACCACTCAGCGTGAAAGGGAAAAATGTAATGCTCTGATCCAGTGGAAATGTCATAAAATAGGTCTACCTGATTACTTCTTATCAGTGCTTGGCTTGGACTGAAATAGGTTCCGGTACTCATTTTGGGTGCTGGTACTGTTTATATTTAGGTAAAGGAGCTCCACAATACTTTTGAGCTAATATTCTATAAGAGGAACAGGAGCTCAAGCAGTAGAACATTTCAGGTGCCGGTACTCAGCTCCAGTGAGCTCCTGCCCAAGTCCAGCACTGCTTCTTATCCCTTGCAAATAGCCTATAGCTGTGTCTGTCCCGAGCTCACTGGCGCAGGAAACTCTGAGAGCCCAGAATATTTTATACAATGTTAGCTTCGGCGGACCCAAGTTAGCAGACAGGCCATATGTAGCCAATGTAATTTATAGGATATTTATTTTTATCAGGATATTTTCTACCTGCAGACTGCAATGTTTTTATTTGTTGGCAATGGCAATATAATTTACTTTTTAGGTTTGTATCATTTTCATTTAGATAATTTTTATTAACCACATGACAATGATTTTGAGATATGAAGACGTTATTATACATTAAATTAAACTGTTTCACGACAATTTGCATATGAAAACCCTAACTGGCATGCAGATCGGTAGAAATAAAGATAAATTGGCATTCCACATGAGAAAGGTTGCCGACTCCTCGTGTAGCCTATTACCAGCAACTTCAGGAGAGTAATGGCAGAATCTGCGAAAGCCAGCAGGAGCGGGAAGAGAATAGTTGGGTCAGGTAAAAAAATAAAATATTCTGGTTATCTAGATCTCTGGCACCCTCAAGGCAGGTCTTATTTCATCAAACCGTAAGCTTTATGCATCAGACAAGCTCAATGCATATTGTTGATTTTATTAAAACACATAGGGTGTGTCTATATAAGGAAAAATACACCTTTAAAAATGTTGACGAAAGAACAGACGACTTTCAGTCAACCAATATTTTTTGGGGTCGGGGAGAGCCTTACTACTTATTTCCACTAGCTCTCACACTAGTTAGCCTTTCAAGCAGTAGTTGTCAAGTGTCAACCTCATGCAGAGTATACCGTGTCAGATCAATGAAAACGTATTCACTTGTACTTTAATTAATATTTGCAGAAAACAACGCCAGCGTGTGCTCAACTGTCCTTGTGAACTGTGTTTCAATTAGCTAGCAAACAATAGCTATGGGTTGTTCTGAAACCGTAGCAGACGGTTTGTGTTAGGCCTTGAAAACCCTTCTCCGTACATGGGGTTTTCAGCGGTTACAATCGCCCACGGTTGGCTCCATGTGAACTACAATTCTGATGCCGCGTTTTAACGTTTAGAAACGTCAATAATCGCTTTCAAAGCGTTTTTCGGAACATATGCTGATATATCCCTTATCTTTCATATCTGTGACATAGAATCGTTCAAATAAAAAATACACTTACTGTAGCAGTTTTGCACAGATCGACAAGCTGTGTGTGCGCGCCTCCAGTTAACGAACTACACTTCCTACCCCAGTTCAAATCAAATCAAATTGTATTTGTCACATGCTTCATGAACAGGTGTAGACTAACAGTGAAATGCTTACTTACGGGCCCTTCCCAACATTTTACATTTTAGTCATTTAGCAGACGCTCTTATCCAGAGCGACTTAAAGTTAGTGAATACAATTTTTTTTTTTTATTTTTATACTGGCCCCCCGTGGGAATCGAACCCACAACCATGGCGTTGCAAACGCCATGCTCTATCAACTGAGCTACATCCCTGCCGGCCATTCCCTCCCCTACCCTGGACGACGCTGGGCCAATTGTGCGCCCGCCCATGAGTCTCCCGGTCGCGGCCGGCTGCGACAGAGCCTGGATTCGAACCAGGATCTCTAGTGGCACAGTTAGCACTGCGATGCAGTGCCTTAGACCACTGCGCCACCCAACAATGCAAAGATAAAGAAAATTGAGAAATAATAGAAAAGTAAAACACGTAATAATAAATACACAATGAGTAAAGATAACTTGGCTATATACACGGGGTACCAGTACCAAGTCGATGTAATTCAGGTAGATATGTACATATAACTAGGAATAAAGTGACAGATAAACAGTAGCAGCAGCGTATGTGATGATTCAAAAGAATTAGTGCAAAAAGGGTCAATGCAGATAGTTAAATAATTAACCAAATAGCTACACGGAGTAACTAGTTAACAGTCTTATGACTTGGGGGTAGAAGCTGTTCAGGGCCCTGTTACAGACTTGGTGCATCAATACCGCTTGCCGTGCGGTAGCAGAGAGAACAATCTATGACTTGAGAGGCTGGAGTCTGACAATTTTTAGGGCCTTCTTCTGACACCGCTTGGTATAGAGGTCCTGGATGATGGCAGGGAGCTCGGCCCCAGTGATGTACTGGGCTGTACGTACTACCCTCTGTAGCGCCTTGTGGTTGATGCCAAGCAGTTGCCATACCAAGAGGTGATGCAGCCAGTCAAGATGCTCTCAATGGTGCAGTTGTAGAACTTTGAGGATCTGATGGCCCATGCCAAATATTTTCAGGCTCCTGAACAACTGTGTTGGTGTGTGTGGACCATGATAGATCCTTAGGGATGTGGACACCGAGGAACTTCAAGCTCTCGACCCGCTAAACTACAGCCCTGTTGATGTGGATGGGGGCGTGCTCGGCCCTCCGTTTCCTGTAGTCCGAATTGAGTGGGCCCAGGGTGTCTAGGATGATGGTGTTGATGTGAGCCATGACAAGCCTTTCAAAGCATTTCATGGCTACAGATGTGAGTTCTACAGGGCGACAGTCATTTAGACAGGTTACCTTGGCGTTCTTGGGCACAGGGACTATGGTGGTCTGCTTGAAACATGTAGGCATTACAGACTGGGTCAGGGAGAGGTAGAAAATGTCAGTGAAAACACTTGCCAGCTGGTCAGCGCATGCCCTGCGGCGTTGTGAATGTTAACCTGTTTAAAGGTCTTACTCACATCGGCTACGGAGAGCGTGATCACAAAGTCGTCCAGAACAGCTGGTGCTCTCATGCATTGTTCAGTGTTGCTTGCCTCGAAGCAAGCATAGAAGGCATTTAGCTCGTCTGGTAGGCTTGCGTCATTGGGCAGCTCGCGGCTGGATTTCCCTTTGTAATCCGTGATAGTTTGCAAGCCCTGCCACATCCGACAGTTATGCTTACACACAGGTGTTCGGAGCTTGACAGCAAATTAGCACAGGTGGCCACCTAGGTCTTCCGTAAACATGTAACATGGAGATGTGGGAGCACTAACTCTATAAAGGTGGTAGTAATTTAAATAAATAAAAATCTCCTCGCTGATATGAAAGATACGTTACTTATATTTCCAAAACCGTACCACAAGCGATGCATTTTTACGTTCAGAACGAGCGCCTGTATCTTAACAAAACTCCCTTGACCATAAGATACTATCATCAATAGGCGCTAAAGCAGTTAGCGTCTAGGAATGGGTTAGTGTTAGATACAAATAATGGCTACAATAACCATATTTCCATCCAGGTTTTTAATGCGAGTAATGTCATACCGTATTTTTTTTAAATCACAACAGCTGTTGAAACAGGAAGTTTCAGTATAATTTTATAAATGCAGACAGAATTTGTTCATTCAACATGGTGGGAACTTTTTGTGTCGGTCAAATTCATTATGCGAGAAATGCCGGTTTAAAACGCCTTTGTGCGAATATTGATATAATACCCATCATATCGAAGTAAACTTGTAGTCACGCAATCCCACTACGACTTGGGAAACCATGCAGTTTATTAGGCAACAGATTAAATAAATTATGAACTTCACAGGGTGGCGAAAGTGCTGTTGGCTAGAGTGCAAGCCCCCAGACCAGAGAAGGCACATTTGCTATTTAATGCAACCGTTTTTGTGACAAAACTATTGGTAGAGTTGAAAATGCGATGGAAACATTTTACTTTAGATTTTTATTCGGTACATTTAAAACTTAACATTTTGTGCGCACTACGTCATCACGCACTGATTTGTATATGCAACAAGTCCGTTTGGTAGAATCACCACTGGTGGGAACATTTGCATATTTTATTTTGCGGATTTTTAGAACATTCGCATGAAAATCTATCCCCAATTGGATGGAAACCTAGCAATTGTAACAATCTTTTCTGCAGACAGCGCACACGCAATTGAAGAATGCAATTTAACCTTAGCGCTCTGGTTAAACCTATCGCATGATCTGTTGATAAAAAGCTTAGCTAGGTGTCATCGTTGGAATATAAAAAAAATAAAAACGCATCGACCTTACAAAACAAGGAAACGTGACTTACCGTGTTACAGAGCCATTTTCACATAGCTCAAGACGCCATGTTTATGCTACTGAAGGCTAAACTGATCTATAAGTATAACATTCTAATAACCTTGTAAAAATAAACATTCGTTTAAAAGATTCGGCGACTTTGCAAGCCTCGGACTAGTTTGATGTCAAATTCATGCCGTCAATGTACGGTCACCGCTGCCTGAATGAGCGTCTCATCAGCAACATTAAAAACGTACTTCCGGGTCAGGGAACTTTTCTAAATAAAAGTCCCCCACCCTTTACGAAAAAAGATTGCGGTCAGAGTGCAATATAACTGCAGAGTGCAGTATAACTGCATAACACTGTAGTGTAACTGTAGTTAGAGTGCAGTATAACTGAAGTATGCTGCAAATGCTGTGTCCAGAATAACATTATTTTTACAGTAGTCATTTTGCAGTGTAACTGCAGTTACAGTGCCATATAACTGCAGTTCTTTATGCTATTTTCCTCATGACTCCTAAATGCATTTTTGACTATGACCTTGCTTGTTTACCCCCCGTGGGACAGACTGTTTGTTCCCACACTCGGGACTCTGACTCTTTATTGGTTACACGGTCTCTTGGACTCCCATCCAAATTCTAACCACCTCTCGCCGGCTTTGTATTCATGTTACCTGATGAAATTGCTGTACAATATGATCTTGTTGCCATCTGATACACATTCAAATGTCATAAAAAATCAACAAAGCAGAGCTCTCCCTGTCCTCGGCCGTGCCCTGATAGTATTACTGCTGATGATATCTGGAAATGTGCACGTACACCCTGGCCCATCTACTGTTGCTAGCCCCAATTCTGACTTGTGCTTTGATACAGTTGAAGTCGAAGGTTTACATAAATTTAGGTTGGAGTCATTAAAACTCATTTTTCAACCACTCCACAAATTCCTTGTTAACAAACTATCGTTTTGGCAAGTCGGTTAGGACATCTACTTTGTGCATGACACAAGTAATTTTTCCAACAATTGTTTACAGACAGATTATTTCACTTATAGTTCACTGTATCACAATTCCAGTGGGTCAGAAGTACACTAAGTTGACTGTGCCTTTAAACAGCTTGGAAAATTCCAGAAAATGATGTCATGGCTTTAGAAGCTTCTGATAGGCTAATTGACATCATTTGAGTCAATTGGAGGTGTACCTGTGGATGTATTTCAAGGCCTACCTTCAAACGCAGTGCCTCTTTGCTTGACATCATGGGAAAATCAAAAGAAATCAGCCAAGACCTCAGAAACAATTTTGTAGACCTCCACAAGTCTGGTTCATCCTTGGGAGCAATTTCCAAACGCCTGAATGTACCACGTTCATCTGTACAAACAATAGTATGCAAGTATAAACACCATGGGACCACGCAGCTGTCATACCGCTCAGGATGGAGACGCTTTCTGTCTCCTAGAGATTAACGTACTTTGGTGCAAAAAGTGCAAATCAATCCCAGAACAACAGCAAAGGACCTTGTGAAGATGCTGGAGGAAACAGGTACAAAAATATCTATATCCATGCTCCAAAACCGCCATAAAAAAGCCAGACTACGGTTTGCAACTGCACATGGGGACAAAGATCGTACTTTTTGAAGAAATGTCCTCTGGTCTGATGAAACAAAAATAGAACTGTTTGGCCATAATGACCATCGTTATGTTTGGAGGAAAAAGGGGGTGAAGCAGCATGCTGTGAAGGTGCTTTGCTGCAGGAGGGACTGGTGCACTTCACAAAATAGATGGCATCATGAGGAAGGAAAATTATGTGGATATATTGAAGCAACATCTCAAGACATCAGTCAGGAAGTTAAAGCTTGGTCACAAATGGGTCTTCCAAATGGACAATGACCCCAAGCATACTTCCAAAGTTGTGGCAAAATGGCAACAAGGACAACAAAGTCAAGGTATTGGAGTGGCCATCACAAAGCCCTGACCTCAATCCTATAGAAAATGTGTAGGCAGAACTGAAAAAGCGTGTGCGAGCAAGGAGGCCTACAAACCTGTCTCAGTTACACCAGCTCTGTCAGGAGGAATGGGCCAAAATTCACCCAACTTGTTGTGGGAAGCTTGTGGAAGGCTACCCGAAACATTTGACCCATGTTAAACAATTTAAAGGCAATGCTACCAAATACTAATTGAGTGTATGTACAATTCTGACCCATTGGGAATGTAATGAAAGAAATACAAGCTGAAATAAATCATTCTCTCTACAATTATTCTGACATTTCACATTCTTAAAATAAAGTGGTGATCCTAACTGACCTAAAACAGGGAATTGTTACTAGGATTAAATGTCAGGAATTGTGAAACACTGAGTTTAAATGTATTCGGCTAAGGTGTATGTAAACTTCCGACTTCAACTGTATCTGCTGATTTCTGCTCTCGTAAAACCCTGGGGTTTCTGCACGTTAACACAAGAAGCTTATTACCTAAAATTGATCAATTGAAAGTGTGAGTTCACAGCTCCAATCCAGATGTGTTAGTCATTACTGAGACGTGGTTAAGAAAGAGTGTTTTGAACACTGATGTTAACCTTTCTGGTTATAACCTTTTTCGGCAAGACAGATCTTCCAAAGGTGGTGGAGTAGCAATCTTTACCAAGGAACACCTTCAGTGCTCGGTTGTCTCCACCAAGTCTGTCCCCAAACAATTTGATTTGCTGGTTTTAAGCAATAAACTTTCAAATAGCTCTTTGTTGACTGTTGCTGGGTGTTATCATCCACAATCAGCACCGGCCTGTACCATACCTGCCCCAAGCTTTCTCCTGGCCCCTTACATTAAGTCTGAATTTGTCCTGCTAGGTGACCTAAACTGGGACATGCTTAAACCACCTGACCAAATCCTAAAGCAATGGGACTCCAAACACCAAGAAAAGGCTACTCTCCTTGATGTTATCCTCACAAATAATCCTGATAGGTATCTGTCTGGTGTTTTCTGTAATGACCTTAGTGATCACTGTTTTACAGCCTGTGTTCGTAATGGCTACTCAGTGAAACAACCTGTACTGATTTGTAATAGACACTTGCTAAAAAAACGATTGATTCAGCCTTCCTTCATGACCTGGCCTCTGTAAATTGGTATAGAATCAGCTTGATCCCCTCTGTCGAAGACGCTTTTACCTTATTTTTTAATATTTTCAGTGGTATTGTTAACAAACATGCCCCCATAAAGACAATTAGAATTAAAACAGGTTCAGCACCTGGTTCGACCGTGATCTGGCAGAGTTACTCCACCTCAAGAATTCCATTTGGCGAAAGGCTCGTTACACGCTTACTCAGGCTAAATGGCTCTCGTTCAGGCAAATGAGAAATAAGTGCCCTCAGGCTATCCGGAAGGCTAAAGCTAGTTACTTTAAGGAGCAGTTCTCTCTCTGTGGGTCTAACCCCAAGAAGTTCTGGAAAACAGTTAAAGACCTGAAGAATAAACCCTCCTCCTCACAGCTGCCCATGTCCCTTAATGTTGATGATGTGGTTGTTACTGACAAAGAGCACATGGCTGAGTTCTTTAATCACCACTTCATTAAGTCAGGATTCCTATTTGACTCAGCCATGCCTCCTTGCCCGTCCAACATTTCCTCATCTCCCACCCCTTCTAATTCGACTAGCCCCGATGCTCCTCCCTCTTTTCTCCCTGCCCCTGCTACAAAGTTTCTCCCTGCAGGCGGTCACAGAGTCAGAGGTGTTAAAGGAACTCCTTAAACTTGACACCAAGAAAACATCTGGGTTAGATGGTTTAGACCCTTTCTTCTTTAAGGTTGCAGCCCCTATCATCGCCAAGCCTGTCTCTGACCTTTTTAACCTGTCTCTCCTCTCTGGGGAGGTTCCCATTGCTTGGAAGGCAGCCACGGTGCGTCCTTTTATTTGAAGGGGGAGATCAAGCTGATCCTAACTGTTATAGGCCAATTTCTATTTTTCCCTGTTTATCAAAAGGTTTGGAAAAACTTGTCAATATTCAGCTGACTGGCTTTCTTGATGTTTATAGTATTCTCTCTGGTATGCAATCTGGTTTTCGCTCAGGTTATGGATGTGTCACTGCAACCTTAAAGGTCCTAAATGATGTCACCATTGCTCTTGATTCTAAGCAATGTTGTGCTGCTATTTTTATTGACTTGTCCAAAGCTTTTGATACGGTAGAGCATTCCATCCTTGTCGGCCGGCTAAGGAGTATTGGTGTCTCTGAGGGGTCTTTGGCATGGTTTGCTAACTACCTCTCTCAAAGAGTGCAGTGTATAAAGTCAGAACATCTGCTATCTCAGCCACTGCCTGTCACCAAGGGAGTACCCCAAGGCTCGATTATCATGCTATTTCAATGGCAATACATTCCCTTATGCAGCATAATGAAAAATGTGATTTCCAATTTTGTGAGGAAGTTGACAAAACTTTGCAATGGCCAACTGGAAAACCTTAGGAATATGTGGGACAAAAATAGAGGTAATATTCAAAGTTTTGTTAATCAGATTGAGGAAAAGGTTGGGTTGACCAACCCTTTGAGCCCATCACCCATTTTCTAATGAGATAGATGAGGATGACAGTAAAAACTTGAGTCACTGCAACACAGTCAAAAACAAGAAACTCATTGATACAAAAACATCATAGCTTTCACCTGGTCAGTCTATGTCATGAAAAGAGCAGGTGTTCCTAATGTCATTTATAGGCCTACATTGCTGCATTGGGACCAATGAAATGGATGGAGTAGAAAGTGTTGCTGGGTATTTAGACCAGAGTCCCCCATGACATAACCCCATATATAGATTCTACAGACACTACAGAGTATTCCCAACCCCACTTGTACATTGGCACAGATTTTTCTTCTTCTACAAGCCAATATATCATTTACAGGCCTACAGTGTACTGCATTAGGACCAGTGGAATGGGTGGAGTTAGAATGTCCTGCTGAGTATTTAGACCACAGTACCCCAAGAAATAACACCATATAGACTCTAGTGCTAGATCAGTAGAGTATGTATAATATGATGTTATTTACATTCATTTACTTAAGATCCAACTATTTCTCAATGTGCTCCACCTTACAGTGCATTCGGAAAGTATTCAGACCCCTTGATTTCATCCACATTTTGTTACGTTACAGCCTTATTCTAAAATTGATTAAATAGTTTTTTCACCTCATCAATCTACACACAATCCCCCATAATTTATTAAAAATAAACAAAACTTAAATAATCACATTTACATAAGTATTCAGA